TCAGTCTTACAGGGTTTTGATTTGTTTTCCCCAGTGCAGCAGATGGTACTGGGAAAACAATAAGTCTTTGCATCCATTTTCTCCAGCACTGACAATTGTTCTTTCTGAGGCATTTGAAGAATCTACCAGTCACAGGTCACCAGCATGAGATGTACAAGTCCTGCATTGTGGAGACAACAGGAAGAACTTCAGTTTGAAAATGTTTAGAGTATATTGAATGAGAAAAATGAGTGGGTTTAGAGAATATCCATCAGAGTATAGAATTTTGTTAGACAATGTGAAGAACTGTGATGTTTAAGTCAGACGGGCTTGCCTCAAAATGAGTTTATGCCTGGGTTGTTTGGGTGTCTCTTTTCTTAGGATTCACAGGTCAATATTCAATTGAAGTGATTGTATGAGGGCAGAAAATCAGCAGGCTGGTTTGCAACAGAGGGGTAGTTGTGCATTGTATAGAAAAATAAAGATTGTTTGGAGTAAGGAATTTGTGTCTGTATTGATAGAACAAATTTGAATGTTCTTGGAAGCCTGGGGAGGCTGGGTGTGTTCTGACATACTTTCTCTGTCAGAAACTGAATTTATGACACGTATGTAAGATTTGAGATTATGGATTCTTCTGCACTTGCCCTGTGTTGGGATTTTTTTAGGAAAAAACTGAGTTCTGAATATCAGGGGAAGGAGAGCAGGCACACAGTAATTGCAAATGGTGTCTTGCTTGATTATCAGATTTAATGTGTCATTAGGGTCTTGCTGACCTTTTCTGTGGATGCAAAACATGGGCAGATGTTAGCATTAGAGAGAAAAAGAGAGCAGAAGTGGATAGATGTGAGCAGGCCGACTGCCAAAAGATCAGCTGACTCTGTGCTGACATCAAGAGCAATCTGGAGAGTCCTCCTTACCCAAGCAAGCCTTTGCAATGCATGGTTGTCTGTAGATGCAGGAGCCACAGCAGTGTCTGTAAGCCAGTCTCTCATCTGGTCAGTACTTCTTTGTTGCTATGAGATGTGTTGTCCTTGTCTCGTTTTGGCTGATTTCTCTGATCTTAGTCTCTGCAGTTTGTTGTTTCATCTGGTGAGAAAAGACAATTAAGGGGAAATGGGCATTTAGGTTGTCTTTTGCATTTTCACTGGATTTGCAGAAGTACTTCCCTCTGAGGTCTGCATGCAGTGTGTTACTGACAGCTTGTAACTTTGTTGTCTCTTCCCATTGCAGTCTATGTAGCTTTGGATTGTTAGGGAGTAATAAAAAATACATTTTACGTGGGTCACAGCTGTAGCAGTAGCTTGAGGAGGTGGTCTCAGTGAAGAGATGTACTTGTGTGGAGGAAATGGATTCCCACAGCCTCTAGTGGGTTGCTTTGCTCACTGCTTTTTAGAGAGGACTGCAAGATGCTACTGAGTGCTGGATGATGTAGTGAAGGTAAAAAGTTCAACTGCTACAGTGTGTCCTGTTATGAATCTTTAGAAACCTTGAGATAACTGTGCTAAGTGCATCATCCTCTTCCCTGCCCCCATACCCAATCACGAAAGATCTGCTTTCATGTGTGGCTTCCTCTGTTCATTTTCTGTGCAGGGTAAAGATTCTGGTTCTGACACTTTTCCCAGCAGGAGTCTTAATTTTCCTGAGAAGCAAACAGTGCTTTTGTCATGGCATATCAAAATACCCATGAAAGGTAATTAGATGGAAGAAAGGAACCTGCTAGTGAGATGCACTGAAAGAGAAGCCTGATAGTCTAATGAGCAAGACACTGAGATCTAGTTTCTGCATTTTCTTTTCTGTGGACATATGTCAAGTCAGTTAGCTGTGTTTGTAAGATAATGCAAAAAATATTTATCTTTCCAACTTTTTGCCTATATGTATTTTCAAAATACATGCTCTTTTTGCAGTGGGTGTCTTCTACTGTGTGTGTGCATGGTGCTCACTTCCATGTGTGGCTGCTCACTGGTACTTTGGAAAGTATTTTAATGACCTTGTCAAAAATAAATGAGTAATAGCTGGTTCAGGAAAATAACTCTTCTTTTCCTCTTGAAAATGTGTGTCAGTGCTCCTCGAAAATTAGTGTCTCTGAACTCTTACCTTTACACAGGGCTCAGAAAAACAAGATTACAAAACATTAGGATGCAGCAGAGAGTGTAGCTGTTGGAAAGATGACTGGAAAGCTAGGAGGGTGAGGGTGGAAGGAGGCACTGTGGATATTGGCAGTGGTCCTCAATCTGCTTCTGCATCAGGAGCCAGGTCTGTCCTTGAAGAGAATGAATGCTTTTTTTTATTTCTTCCATTTCCTCCCCACCCCCAGACAATATAACCTAAGAAGAATAAGGCTCAGAAACAAGATTAGAGGTTTGTGTTCTCAGTAAGGACATTCTGAGATTTAATGAGAAAGCAGGTTAATAAAAAATCTGACAATCTGGAATAGGCTGTGGGAAATAATTTCCACCATCACTGGCTTAATGATGACTTTAAAAATAATTCCGAACAAACTAATTCCTAGAGACAGGGAGGTGATAAGGAAGAGCAAGATTCTTGAGCCTGGTTCCATGTTGGATAGGTACTATAGAAAAGGCTTTGCTTGCTTGTTACCTAAAGGTGAATAAGGAAAAAACATTTTCTGTAGACTGTAAAGAATAGTCTACACTGCCTCTTGATGCAGAATCACTTGCAGCAGTGTTTAGTTCAGAAGGCTGTACTAAATTTCTGGTCAAGATTTCATCCACATCTGTGTACATTCACTTTTTTGGAGGGTAAGAAGCTTCAGGTTTTCCCACTTTTCAACCCCTGACCCAACCCCTTTCTAGTGCAGAATGTCCAGCAAAAGAAGCTGATCAATTAAACAACAGGAAACTGCTGCCTACAGCAGCTAAATCACATCTGATTTGTAGATGAGGTCATTTGCAGCTGAGGCAAGTACATGCATTTTTCACAGTGGGTGCTCACTCTTGGTGTGCTTTATCCCTTTGAGGCCTTTAACAGCTCTTTTCTTTGAGTCAGCTTTGATCCAAATCTTGGCTCTTAGCTGGACAGCAGCACAAAATTGAATGTAAAGATACAATTGCATGCCATGTATTTTAAAGGAGACAAAACCCACAACTCCCCACCTCCAAAAAGAAAACAAATTGCCATCCTCCAAACCCCCAGACATGTGAAGCATCATCCAGTTTTGTCTTCTTCTCTTCCTATGTCATAGATGCCATTTGGATCATGTTTGTTTTCCTGATTAAAATCCCAGGGGTCTTGGTTTGTTTTGTTGTTGCTGCTGTTGTGTTTTGGGTTTTTTTTCCCTGATATGCTGTGGTTCTTAGCATTCTCTTACCCATTCAAACATTTAAAACATGAAAATAAAGCCTTGGAAACTTAACAGGAGCAAATAGTCACTGTCATTAGTAAACCGAGGGAAAGGATGGGATTCAACAGATTTTCCAAGTGATAGAAAACTAATGGTTTTAGGGGAAAGAATTTAATTCAATGTATCTTCATAGATACCAGCTATTCTATATCCCCCTTGTTTATGCTGTTTCCATGACCATCCTTCAAGAATTGTTTTGCTCAGCTTGATTCCTTCTCATCTCTTGATCCCTGCCAAGGCAGTGTTCTTGGCTGCTTTAAGAGACATGGAGTAAACATTCGCCCTCAGTAGTACAAGGTTTGTTCAGCAGTTTTAACAGCCAGATACAGTCCTGAGGAGAGCTGCACACATACTTGGATTGAATGGGCAGGGGTACCTTTCACTTTACTGGGCTTTGAAAAAGAAGGAATTCTTTAAAATGACAAAACACACAGACCCATGAAAGTCATGCTTCGATATTAGCCTTTCCATGAGAAATCTCAACACAAATCTGTTTAGCTGGGTGATAGCCAACTGGACATTTGCTAAGTATGAGGAAAATTGTTCAGCTGTAAATGCTTTGACATAAACCAAGTGGTTTTTCCCCAGACTATCTGGAATGTTTATATGAGTGGCTCTTTAGCATGTCTCTGCGTTTTAGTGACATTGTTTGTTCCTTCAGCCAGCATCTTCTTTTGACAAGACTTGCTTGATTCCTCCCACTGTAATTTGTTGCCATGTACTTAACCTGATGGCTCAGTACTAGATGGCTTCATCTCTCTTGAAGGCTGAATCTGTTAAATACTGCAACTGCTCAGTACAATGTGCCTTTCAGAAATAAGTGGGATCAGTACAGCAATGCACATCAAGTGTCCAACATTTAGTGCCTAACTTTGGCTTCATGATGCTTTGCTTGTTCATGGTGGGGAGTCTGGCAGGTCTGGGAAATAAATACATGTTCAAAATGCTTCTTTGACTAGGTTATCAGTGCCTGGTGGGATGGATACCTGTGGGTATCATCCCAGAACTCAACCCTAAACCCAAATGCACTGTTCCAGTTTATAATGCAGCTATTCTCTTTTCCTATAGGTTCTTTTCCCTGCTAAACTGGTGTCAGGCACAGAGCATTTTTGCTCATATGCATTCCTTCGTACAGTCCTTCCTACAGCTCTCTCATCTCACTGCGTTTGAGACCAAATTTGCTGTGCCCAGAGTGCTTAATGAAATCAGACACTTTGCTATGAAGTTGTCATGAGTAAATGCTTATTGCCCAGACTCAATACTTTCATTTTACAGTCTTTCCTGGTTTTTTTGAGTTCTGTCCCTATGCTTGATGAGATACATGAGCCCACATTTATCTTGTAGTAGTGCATCACCTGCCATACCATGGTATTCACTTGGTCTGCATTCCTGACAAATATATTTGTGGTGAAGCAGAATTGCTATTCTGGGGGAAAAAACCCAAACCCCAAAGCAAACAAACAAACTGAAACTGCCCAACTCTCTAAGATTATGCAGAGGATAAAATCCAACTTCTGGAGCAGTCTGCAGGCACACACAGACACAGGCAGGCAGCGAGTGCCTGTGTGACAGCGAGCTGGAGCGAGAGGAAGCCTTGAAACTTAAACTCCTCCTGCAGCTCTGCATCTGCTCTGAGTCACTGCTATGACTCACACTGACAGTGTTCACGTTTGCTAGCGCTCAGATGGAGCAGCTCTGGCAACAGAAGAAGCAGGTTATATTATTGATTACCTGCTGCAGCACACAGTTGCACCAAGATTCATTTTTACAAGCACAGATGAAACAGAAGAGGCTCTACTGAGCACTGCTATTATTATTCATATTGCTTTCTCAAGGTAAGAATGCCTGTTTATTTAAATATGTACCATAGGGAATTTAGAGCTTGTGAAGTCTGAATTACTGTTGCTGCTATCCTCAGAGGATGCTGATCTTTGGAGCTGCGTTGCTGCAAAGCTTTGTCTGGGCTGCTTGCTGTGCCATATGGAGAATCATATGGCTAATGGGCAGTGTGTGTCCTAGGAAACAAAATAACTACTTTCTCATTCATTGGTGTTATGTAAGGCATGGCAGCCATGTTAAGGACAGAAGACCTCTTTTGAAGAAACAGTGCTGCTAGACGGTAGGACAAGGAAAACAAGTCGTTTTTAAGCAGCTCTCTGTTCTTTGGAAGGTGCTGCAGTTCTCTAGTTCTTGCTTAATGAACTTCTGTGTCAATAGAATAAAAAAAGCAGTTGTATTTGAAGTAGCAAAATAATTGTTTACCTTTAGAGTCACTGTGTTGTTCTGCCTTCAGCATTCAGGCTGAGACTGTGCATGTGATCCGTGCAGTGCCTGATGTAAACAGTTTCTTCAAATACTATGAGTGGTATTGGGATGATTTTCATCTTGTGCCACTAAAAGCACATATGTCATGTTCTGGCAATTAGTAATATGCAAAAAATGAGACATGTTCTAGTTGGTGTTGACATATGCAGAGTAGGTGTAACATTTGTTTATAGTGGCTTTACTGCTATTTTACTCACTTTAGTGCTGTAATTTTAAAAGTGGTTAGACTGGTATAGCTTATTATGCTCTTGTAGAATCCTCTGAGTCTTGAGCATTTGCTGTATTCCCCACAAGAGATTTTTTAAGCTAGGGATTTTGGTTTTGAACTGCAGTAGTGAATTTATCTTAATTTATTGTTTTCTTTTCTTCTCTCCCCCCCCCCCCCCCCCCCCCGCCATTTATTTTGTATTTGCAAAGCAGTATCCTTTTAAAGTACAGTGAGGTTGGCAGTTGCTTTCAATAATAAGGGAGCCAGATCACTTGTGTTTGTTTTCAGAATGAGGGGATGAGGGTATTTTCAAAACCTGATCATTTCCTAGATTACTTTCAGGTACTTGAATTTACCACTCATTTCCATGTAGAATTTACATAAAAGGGGCGACTGTCATCTTCTCTGGAAGAAATACGGTGCTGTAATAATAGCATTTCAAAATGACAGCATCTTTAGGTTCTTCTTCTGTATGCTAGTTTGTAGCATTTACTGATAGAAAGTGTTTTCATTGCTATGAATTAACCAGATTTGGTGTTACTCTAGCTTTTATAATAGATTAGTTTCCTTAATAAAATGGAAAGCAAGGTCTGTTAGTGCATTTGTAGGATCTTTATACTTCTGATGGCATACAACTTGGAAAACTACAGTGTGAGAGGAGCATTTAAAACAATGTCTGTCATGGGTGCCCAACTGCCAGAGGAAAAATTTTGTTGACTAATTTTTGTGACTTGTGTTTTTGATATTAAATATTTCTCATGTTACAGCATTATAAATGCAAACTAGTTTAAACAGTGGGTTTGGGACTGTTTGCTAACAAAATTCTGGCACGTAACAATCTCCTTCTCCTCCCAGACCCAAACAAGTAGATAAAACATTCTTTACAGTCTGAATTTTTCCACTGATTTGTATCTTAATTACTGTTATTTAAGGTTGTGTCAGAATTTTGCTTAAACAATTGCCTTTAAGTATGCATTTAGGTGCATAAAATCTGTGTTAAGTGCAAAGGAACCAGCTGCATTTGATCCTTCTGTGGAGGGATTTTGCAATAAGTGTAACAGGGCTTGTCAAAGTCTGCTCTCTAGGCACCCTGTTAGTTGAGTTTTGTTTCCTTAAGATGGCTTTGTATTAGGCTGCAAAGGTAACAAGTGGCAGAGGCTATTTGGATTATTTCACTGGTACTTTTTGGCAGGACTTGAATTGTGAGAGTTCATTACATCCTTGGCCTTTCTTTTCTGTAAACCCAAACAGAAGATCCCAGCTCTCTGTTCTCCCCTCCTGTTCCTAACCTACAGGATATCACAGCTGTTTTTCTCATCTCTGCATTACTACAGAGCCATGCTTTGTTATTTTTGCCTTCTCTAAAGCTTTTGTGAACTTCCTGCTGGAATTTAAGCCCCCTTTTTGATTCTCACTTCAGCTGCTCAGGTGTGGATTCTCTCCCCTTGGTAGGTTTTCCACCTAGGAAAGCCTTGAATGCCACAAAGCTCACATAATTCATCACTTCCCTTTTGCTCCTTGTGCTGCTTGTGTTCTAAACAACAGATGGGGTCTTCAGGTTGTCCTTGATTTGTTTCTTCCTTTGTAGAACCTCTTGCTTTTTTTTGGTGGCTTCTTTTGTGGCCATGCTCTGTGTTACTCTGAGCCCTTTGTCAGCCTTCCTGGCAGCTGCTGGATTAACTCTGATCTCTTACATGTTCTGCTCTCTCAGTCCTTGAGCAGAAGTTTGAAAACAGACAGTGGCATCATCCTTGGGCATGTGGTTCTACCTCTCCTTGCCATGACAGCAGGAAATGGCTGCAGGAAACAGAGCTGTTGCTGCGGGTAGTACATAGATAAATTAGGACCCTAGAGAAAATAAAGCATTTCTCCAAAATTCTTTAGTGGGAGGAAGCACTTACTCTCCTGTTTTACACAAAAGCTGCATTAGCAATGATTTATAACTAGCCTTGCCTGATGAGGAACTTAGGGGAAATCCAGTCTTGTCATTGCAGTTCATTTAATTTATGTGAGTCATCTTTAATATGAGTGATATTTTTTTATTGTATCGTATTTTTAGCTAATGATCAGCCCAGACTGGACCATTGCTGTTTCAGAAGCTAAGTCTTGCACAGAGTAAAAGATAGCTCATGCACTGAATAAGGATTTATATTTTTCCCCAGAGGAAATAGTTGCCGTATTTTCTGTGGTGATATGCTGTTTGACATTAGACTTCCTGATAAAGGACTCTGCAGTATCTGAAAAAGCAGCATCTTGGTGTTTGTGTGGTACATCCTTGTCAGAGAACAGCACAGCATTTCTGTTTCCAAATAGGAATTTGAAATTGAGGGAGGGAAAAAATTTTATGAGTTGGGTTTTATTTACAAGTATTTGTTTCTTTTTTGCATGTTTGATGTAAACCCATGTAAACAGGAGTTCTGTTGGGATAAAATCCTAGCGTGTGAGCAGTATGAATAGCACCATTTGCAGTACTGCACCATCTTGTTTGTTGAAGAACTTCTCTTTTTATTTGTGTCATTTTTAGAGATGACAATTTTTACATGAGTTATTTTTGTGGTCTTTTATAAGTGTAAGCATCTAGAGGGCATCTCCTCAGCCCCTTTGGCTGTTTTCTGAAGAGCTCTTCTTATAGGGATTAGATTTGTTGCCTGGTTTTAAAGAGGAGGGGGAAAGAGTTGTTAAATCTTTGTTTGTGGTGTGTCCTGAAAAGCTCTTCACTTTATCCTGAAGCAGTTCAAGCAGGAGGACACAGTCAGACCGTGAACACATCCTGGTTGCCCTGGAAGGCCTGAACTGCTAGAGGGGCTCCCAGCTTATTGTGTTGCACAAGCTTCTGCATCAGGCAGGAAAAGTCACAGTCTCATTTTTTATCTGTTTTAAACCTTTGTGTATTTTGAAGCTTGTGTTGGTTTAAATAAAGAGTGAATGGTACAGCCTATACTCTGAGGATAACAATGATGGTCCTTTCATTTGCCTTCAGGGTCGGGGTTTTCACTTGACTTCATGGCTGTAGTCCCCCTGTCGTGCTCTGGAGTCAGAGCCAGTGTGAGGATGAGGGTAGTTCATTTTGCTCTGGTTAAATGAGGTTATGGCCTGGATTATGATGGCATGTTATTTCTCTGCAGAATTGTCCTTGTATTTTATAGGGATGCAGAAATCTGGGATTAGCTCTGTTTTCATTTCAAATTGATGCTTTGCCTTTAAAGCAACAGAGTACCTCTGACTCGTCTGCATAAGCTTTAATAAACAGCACCTAATTGGTAGGTTTGATGTCTCACATAACACTGAATTGACCTTCTATGTTCAGGTGAAACACAGTTTAAAGGGAATGAGTTCATGATCCTTAATTCAAATTTACTTTTTAGAAAAATACTTGTTACTTCCAGATGACAAAGCAGCTACAGGCAGAGGTGAATAACAGAGCATGGAGTCTGCTGTTAAAAAAAAAAAAAAAGACAGCAGTGCAATATTCTAGATTGCACTAAATGCCAATAACTTCATCCAATTTCCTGTATGTGATAGGTGAATGTATTATAAGTCCCAGATTCCTGAAATACAAACTGCTATAAAAGATTTCTTCTGTCTCATTTCAGAAATAGACACAAGTGGCCTGACTTTACAGGATAAGATTTTTTTTTTCCAGGCTTCAATGTTATTTCTGTCAAGCAGTTGGAAGGGCTTCTTCTGAGGATATGTGGACCAAAATGGTAAAATGTTGATTTGCATAATGCACATACAAGGACATGAAATAAATAATGCCACATTGACAGTGTCCTCTATTGTTTCAGGAAAACTTGGAAGAAGAGCGCTTTTGAACTCTGTATGATACGTGGATTTGTATGAAAAGGACTGTGTCACAAGTATTACTCTCATTAAATATAAGCATCATGGCTCTAAATACATGACATAAAAATGCATGCAACTGAGCTGGCTAGAGTGAGCTCTTTCTGTCATAAACACTCTCTCAAATGTGGGTGTCTGGGAAAAGTTACTCAAATTATTCTCTGTTCCTGAGAGACATAGATGACTTTCAATTGTGTTTTGGTAAACAGGAGGTAGTGAGTAATAGGAAGAATGTGGCCATTGTGGTTTTGCCTGCATAAGGAAGATTTCTCATCATTGTCCCATAGCTCTGTAGATTCTGATGAGAACATGGTATTATAATGCTGGCACTTATACAGAAAACTGATTTTACACAGGAAAGTTGCTTGGAAAAGTGACTACTCTTGTGCTGGTACATAGTAAGGAAGACAGATTTTGCTGGAATGCAGTAAGGAGACAGAGTGCATGGGCAGAGTGGAA